GTGTCGTGGAGGGCGGCAGCGGTCTCAAGGTGGTGGCTCTGGCGCGGCTGACGCCGATCCCCTTCGGGCTGCAGAACGCCGTCTTCGCGGTGAGTCCCCGGCGCGGGCCGTGTGGCCAAGGCAGAAGCTCTGGGTGAAAGAATGACTTGCAGCATAGCAGCCAGTGTCACTGGTGGAGGTTGCCTCCTTTCCCAGGAAGAAACCTTGATTTCTTTCTTGTGTAACAACAGTAGAAGCAACCTCCTGCCTGCTTTTGCTTGAGGCTCTTCCGTGCTTGCGGAGGAACAGCAGGCAGGTTCTCAAGGCACCTTGTTCAGTGGCGTTACGTTAGAGTTGCTCTGTGGCTTTCGGGACTAAGTTCTGGTGTTAGAAAGACGCACCAAGGTGCTGTGTAGCCAAATCTGTCGAGAGCTCGACAGTTCTAAAGTGCCTCTGTTTTTAAAATGATCCGAGTGGGAGGAAAGTTGTATTTTTAAGCAGTCTTGCCAGATTTCCCTAAACTACTTGATACAGATAATCATATTGGAAAGAAAGAAGTGGACAAATTAAAGTTTTTGCTCAGTTTGGTTGATGTTTGTAGCATACATCTGGCAGATCGATACCGGATGTTAAGTCCATCCACACAAGAGAGGTCGAGTATTTTGTGCAGAGCAGTGAGGTGTAGGCTCAGAGCTACACCAGAGTGGTACTGAAAGTTACTTTAAACTTCAGTTTGGAAAAGGGTTAGTCTTGCTTTTCTTTCTTTTAGATGAAGACTGGTACATTCTTTTAGAATAATTATTTAAAATTTTATAATGTTTTTCTCTTTGGTCATCGTAAGGGAGAATGTAAAGAAGAATTTCAGACCCTGATCTTCTCCTGTGTGCTTTTGTCTGAAGGATCTGGTTTTGGCTGTGTGTTACGCCTCGGTTGTGTCTCTGCTAACTCCATGAAATCAAGACAGAGCAAACCAGATTGTGAAGTATTTTAAATGTTTAACAGTAACTGTATGTTCTTTAATGTACGAGACCCTCTAAACAAGTGTTTCGGTCTCCCACTTTCCTATAGCATGTGCTCTCCTTCCCTTACCTGCAGTCCTGATCCTGTACCCTTCTGAAGTGCTCACTTAATTTTGACAGAATCGTCTGATTGAAATGAGTAGGTAACTGAATTTGTTGTTTAAGAAAAAATTAATCCACACAATTTTTAGGGTTTAGCGCCCACATCAAATATTTAAAATCGCTATATGTAAAAGCTGCAATCTCTGCTTGTAAAAGCTCCAGCAACTTACCGTTTCTTTTTAAGCAGATCCTTTAACCATTTCCTTGTTCTGAATGAGAGGAACCTCAGCTCTTTTATTTATTTACCTATATTACTGCAGGATTGAGGAAGTTTAGACCCGTGCGACTGAGAGCAGAATTTCCCTGGAGCGCAAGGTCCTGGTGTAGCAGACAAAGCTTCTGCTACAGTGTGACCCTCCTAAAGCGGGGAGAGCTGTTGTGCTTCGGTTGTTCACAGCTTCTGGGTGTCACTTGGAAGTAGTCAGCAGCTGTCATAGAGTAGTATTGGATCTGAAGAACTGACCAGAGAATTACCAAGTTAAAATGATTTCCTTCCTGGCATAACCATTTTGTTGGAAACACGATTCAGCAGAGTATTGAGGCCAGTGCAATATTAAAATGATGCTGTAAATCAATGTTTTGTATTCTGTAAGTACTGCAAGCTAAATCATTTTCTTTCCAAGTGGAAGGTTTCATTGTTAAAACAACAGGTAGGAAATTAGATGAAACCAGGTGCTTGAGTATGCCAAATAACTTGGATGTTGCCTGCTAAAATTAGTTTGGGTTGCATTTATTACTGCAGATCTATTACTTTGCAGCACACACAGTTAAAACTCTGTGTGCTACATTTTTAACTAAGAACGTTTAAAATGAACTACTAGATTACTGAAAAATAAAACTGTTGCATGCAAATCTGGGAATTCGAGAGTTTCTCACTGCGAGTCAAGTTTAAGCTAGGTATAGAATACAAAATTCTACCTACACAGACCAAGCTGTAATTTCTTTGAAATCTAAGTTACTTCGAAATGTAATGTTCCACTGAAGTTTAAAATGCAAGGGAATTTGGAGTGCCCTGACCATCCATCCGTTCCCCGTGCTAGCAACTTCAGTGAATTTGAAAAGGATTGCTCTTAACAGTAGAGGAAAGAACAGTGAACTTAAGAAAAACTACGCATCTTTATTTTTCCAGCAGTCTGGTCTATGCGTGTTTTCTATGTGCCTGTTTATAAATAAACTGTAAATACTGAGAATACATAATTGAGAGGGAAGGGAGGAAGTGACACATGAGGTCCAGGGCAAGGCATAACCTTGAGGTGAGAGGAGTTGTCTGCAGGACTGGGATTAATGGGTTTCTACAAGCACCTGTTTGGTGGCATATACCATCTGCTGAGGGTTTTAGGGAGGCTGAATTGCAGGGGAATGTGCAGAAGGAAGGAAGAGCTTCCTAGCATTTGATTAGCGATGGGGTCATATTATTTCAAACAGCATGAGAAGAAAACTATCGTGAATTTCTTAGTTTTTCACCAGCCAGACGTGAACATCTTGGTTCTTAAGGTCATTCTCTTGTTCTTTGGGAGAGCACTGATAGTAGGAGCAGTGGGGTAATGTGTTTACTTGCCTTTCTGGAAGATGTAGAAACTTCTTAACTGAAAGCATGTTTGTATTTCTCTTTGAGTGGCTTTTGCTTAATTGTCACTCCTGTGGTGCCAGGGTGGCCTGGGCTGCTGGGGTCAGCTGGCAGCTCTTGTTGAAGTGTTTGCCCACACACAGCCCTCTCCCCTTGGCAACTCTGAGCGTTCTGAAGGCAGGTCTGGAAGGACGCCTGGTATGCAGGTTATCACCTCCTTCCCACTACTGGGTCCTTGGAGCTAGATTTGTGCAGGCTGATCATTTGTAGTGCCAGGTGTAGCTTAGATCAGAATTCATGTTTCTTCTTTCTCCTCTGAGAGGAGTATTGTATGGAATAAATAATCTGTCCAAGCATGTGCATTTTTGGTTCCAGAAATGCACGCAGTGAAATCAGAGTTTAAGAAATGGTACCTGCTTTGCAGAAACATGCAGGCTGCTTACTCTGCTTGTTGGAAAGTTCAAGCTGTTTTTTTCGTTCCTGATCTGGTTGGTTTGAGATTTTTTAGAGAAAGTAAAGAGCCATCAGAATTGTCCTTTGCTCTCAGTTGCTAAGCCTACCTGATCTGAAACACGGGATTTCATAAGTTGAGGGGAGAGAAATCTGCTGCAATCCCCAAAGGCATGTGAGCCTCCGACAAAGTCCTGATACAAGTGTTTATTCTCTGACAGGACTAAACCAAAGGTGTCAGCTGCAAAGAATACACTGAAGTTTTACTGGATAAAGCCTGTCCAAGGTTTAGTGGGAGAATTTCTGGCTAACCTTCTTGTTACCAGAGTGTTTAGGTAGTTCTTAATTTTATTTTAATACATTGGTATGGCCTGTAACAATCGCATCCATGTTTGCATTGGGATTTCACTGTTAATTTTTGCTGTCTTGAGCTTTCTGTAGAAACAGTGTCCTGGTAGTCTCTGTTTGGCAGGTTGGCCATGCAGACCCTAGTCTGACAGGTTTCTGGAACAGGTTAAAGTTTTGTAAGAGGAATGACGTGGAAAGCTCTAAGTTTTATTTTGCAGGTTCCCTAGATAGGGATGCCATCCGCTTCCTGTGCCTTCTGGGGAAAGGGTACTACTGTAGATCTAAACCCTGCAAACCAGGAGTTAAAAGGGCACCTGCAAATTACACGCACACACACACCCCCCCCGCCATTAACTCTCATTTTAGTGGGAAGCACAAGTGTCAGTCCAGCACGACCGCTGCCAGCCTCCCCTTCGTTTGGAAGCAGGCTCTCTCATGGCCCAGGAGGTCCAGTCGCTTCAGGTCAGATCCAGATGTGCAGACGTGTTGCTTTGCAACCAGAGTGTCCTTAAGACATATACAGAAATGAAAGAGGTGTCTGGGAGTGGTAAAACAATCTTTGGGAAGTGTCCCAGCTCCATTAGATTTAATGACAGTGTCCTTCTTAGCCAATCTTGCCTCAGTGTTAGTATTTCAGAGACTTTTAATAGCAACTCCTTCATTCCCTTGGCAATATGGGAAGTTTCAGTTGTTCGTTCTTATTACATGGCCCAGATTACTATAATGTTTTTTTTTTTTTAAAAAAGTCTTTTCAAAGCATTGGACAAATGTGAAGTTCTGACATAATTATGTACTGCTTTTTCATTATAAATCTAAATTAATCTTGCATAGAGAGGGAAGTGTATTGTTTGTGTTGCTGGTAGATAATTCAGTCTGTGAAAAGTATAATTTGCAGTGTGAAGTTTGGAATTGGCTTATTGGATCTTGTTCCAGTGAATTATTCTTAATCGTTGTGCTTCATTGCATTCTCCTTCTCCATTGCCCTTCCTTCCTCCCATAAACTTTCCACTGATGGTGCTTAGAGTTCTGAGAATTCAGCACTGTGACTTTCATAGTAACCAAAGTTTATTTTAAGAACAGCATGATGAAATGAGTAACTTTGCTGCTATTCTCTTGTCTTCAACGTTGTACAAAACTGTCAAGGTCAATAATTTCCATGTAGGTTCCCAGTGTTAGCGGCTGTTCTTAATTAGTTTTGTTACTATGTGATCAACTGAATTGTCTGGAAAATTCCTTAGACTGCGTGTTTCAAAATTGCCCTTTTCATACTCATTTTTAACCCATAAAAATGTCTTCTTTTTTCATGCATAAATATCTTTTGTCCTCCTGGCTCTTGCATTTAATATTTCCCAATGGCTGCTGATACTAATTCAGCTGGTACTGTGTATTTTGTTCCCATGTAAACTGTCCACATACTTACTCAGAACAGAAATTCCCCAGCAAAGAGAGGAAAATATCTTGAAATATTTTAGTGTTTTAGTTTCCAGCGAAACTAACAAAAGCTATGGTGGTGTGTGCACACTAATTAAAGTGTGATATAAAATGTCTTTGGTAGAAAATCTCAATGATACCCACGTACGTCACTGATACAGATGGATATTGCTGCTGGAGATCACTGATAAATGTCTCTTAATGAGTATATAACTTCCCTTGCAGAGGCAAATTGTATCTGCCGTTCTGTTTACCGAGATCATATTTAATCCAGTGACATTTTGAACAATTACCTCTTTTATTAGTTGCCATACATTTAAAAAGCAAAGCAAAGAGATTTTTGCTCTTGACCTTCACGTTTGATAAAGTAATGTGTTCCCGTGAGCAAATTCTCATAAGTTGCGTGGCTCCGCTCACCATGCAGAAATAAACATCTTCAATGAACAGTGTAATTGCATCCTTAGTTAATGACTTTTGCACAGAGATGTTGCGTAACGTAAGATGAAATGAAATAAAACCTGGTAACTTCAAAAAGGCTGGATGAAAACTAGCCACATACTGTTTTATTGTGTTATCTTAGATTCACGCACAGTGGAAGGTTTCAGCGAAGGAATGCAAGAAATTCTTTCATTATTTTGCACGGATATTTGTGGAAGCGGCAGTCTGGTTGGTTGTGCATATAGATTGTGTTGCAACTGTGCGTGATTTCTTACACAGTCTTTTACTCAGATTACAGATTTGTCACTACCCAACTACCTGATGGCTTCTTCAGTTGGGCTGCTACCTACTCAGCTCCTGAACTCATACTTGGGCACTACCTTGCGCACCATGGAAGATGTGATTGCAGAACAGAGTGTTAGTGGCTATTTTATATTCGGTTTACAGGTAAGTTAAAAGATTGCTTTCTTAGACTTTGGTAACAGCAGCGTCAGTCTCTTTGTGACTGCTTGGGTAAGCAATTACTCTTGGAAACAGTCGTCTTCTTGTGTTTAAGTTTATTTCTTTATCTCCCTGATTTCTTGCTCATCTGCTGTACCAGCGGCATTCAAGACAGGACTTTGCTTCTGGAGACAGTAGGCAAGTTTCCTTCCTGCAGCTTTGTCTCTTCAAGTCATTGAATCTTCACTTTGGAAACTGCATGCCTGTAGGAATATGTGTGAGATATAGAGAGGTTCAGCATTGCCGATTTCTCTTTCAGACTGCACTTGGAAAAGGGGTGGGCTGCAGGGGGCTTGGGGGAATGCACGTCTCGGTTAAGAGCTGCTCTCTGTTGGCATAACAGCTCCCTAGTCCTGAGGCAGCTGACCTCTTACAGGCTGAAGGCCAAGCAAGTATGGCATGTGGTATTGAAAACTAGCAGGTTTTAAAAAGTGTTCAGTTTATAACTCCGTTATTGGTATTTTCAGTAGATTGTGTAAAACTGAGCTGACATTTTTTTCATAGGCTTATGACTGCTAGATACCCAGAGAAATGGGTTTCCAGTGTACTGTTTTCTTTTGTTGCTTTCTTCTCTTAAAAAAGTTAAATTCTCTCATATCTCATGTGACACAAGGCAGAACTTACTCAGTGTTCTCTTTTTCTGTTCCTGCCACAGTTTTTCTTCTCTTGCTCTCTGTGGTAATCTACTGCTGAATTTTAGACTTGTCAAGCCCTGTGCCGCTAGCTGTGAAATCGTGTGCTCAGGGTGCTTAGACCCAGCACCTGTGCAGTGTTCCCTGTTAGCACTGAACACTCCTGATTTTGCATAGGTATTCAGGATGAAAAGTGCTGTAGAAATACCGTTTTGCTAAAGCCTAAATCAGAATATCCTAATTTTGCAAGTGGGTAAATTAATGACAAGTATATAGTACCTTTACATCAGCTTAGCCGATGAAATAACTTCTCAATAAATCTTGGGGGTTAGCCTTAAGTCTGAAACCATTACAAGCATAGAAATCATGAGTATTTCAGAATCATATTATGTATTAACACCTCCTCTGACAGCATCGGTGCTTCAGGCTGTGTTTGAACAGCAGTTACCGTGGTTTGCAGACTTTCAGTTGGTACTGCAGTCATCTGTCTTCCTCAGTTTTTGCAATCATAAAGCTGATGTTTAACAATGCTAAGATACAAAACTAAGTGTAGGACCATTTTAAACCTTCCCCCACCTGAAACGTGTGTGTTCTTAAACGGAACGTGTAATTTATAGGCTTCATAGAACAGGTTTATGAGTATGAGAAATGCCTTTGTAAATGTGTGGGGTAAATAGCCTCAGTAAATAAAGAGAAAGTAGATGGTTACTTCATCAGCTTTCATTTTAATAATGAAATGTTATTTCTAGGGTGGTAGTTTTTAGTGGTCTTTTTTTTTTTTCCCCACTATTTTTTTTTTTTTTTAAATGACATTGACTCTCCTTTGTAGATTATATAGGTTGTAACATAACTGTCACTCAGGTAAGCGCCAGCTGGAGAGGCTGAATGCTTGAATAGGAGTGCTTACCTCCTTGAGAGCAATCCTTGGGACCTGACTAAGTCAAGGGGAGCCTGTTAGTAGAGGAATTATTTGTGGTGTTCTGCTGTCAGGCATCTGCCTGGTGCTTTGCCTGGCTGGGCTTTGCTGAGACTTTGATTTAGTAAATAGCTCTAAAAAGCCTTCACTTTTCGTGGTTGCCTGCATGTATATATTTTTTAAAGGGAACTAGACTACTGGTAGTAATATTTCTAAAACTAGTAAAATTTAAATATCTGGGTAAGCTTTTAGAATAGGATTATTCCTGTATATTCAGAACTTGGTGTCCATAGTTTCTTTTTGACTCTTACATTGGCCAGCTTTTGAAATATATAACTTGAATTTACAGTAAAGAACATCTTTTTCACTGCAATGATAGTCAAGCAGGTTGCCCAAAAAGGTGGTGAAATCTCTAGACCTGACTGGACAAAAGCCCTGAGCGACTTGGTCTTGTCTTGCAGCCAGCCCTGCTCTGAGCCGTAGGTCAGGCTAGAGACTGCCAGGGATGCTTTCCAGCTGCAATTATCCTGTGGTCATACTTGTCTATCGTCTTACTCGGTGATATTTTATCATCTTTTATGCCATGCTGACAGATGTTTTAAGTGATAGTGTTAAAGAAAACATAGCCCTACCAATTAATAATGAAGTTCAGATTTTGGACTCAAAACTGTAGGTTCTGTTCTAAGCAATATAAACTTCTTGGTTTTTTGAAAGGAAGGTGCATATTCCAGGTAGTTGCCTAAAACATTCTTAAAAAAGGTAGAGGAATTTACTTCTTTCAAAGGGACTCACACTGTGAGACAGCTTGATTTTTTTATTTGAAGATTTATTTTTGTTTTAAGGAGGATCTCAGCTGAAAACTGGACTGGTATTTTATTGAAACCAAAGGCCACCTCTGGGGAGTGCAGTGCATGCCAATGTCATTGAATGAGGAATTTCTAAGCAAAAATTGTCCAGGTTTATGTCCTGGTGTCAGCTGGGACAGAATTCGTTTTTCTTTTTAGTGCTGGCTGCGCTAAACCACGACAGTTTATTACTGATAATTTTTGTGGTGAAAGTTTAAAAATTCTTAGCAATAAAATTCAGAGTGAAAACTTCAACTAAAACTCTAGTTTTGGACAATATTTCCTCCTTCAAATAAGCAAACAAAAACCCCATGCCGTCCTGTTCCCTCCTCAAGCCATCCTTCAGAAACCAAATTCTTCCCATACAGACTACTGTAAGTCGCTCAGAAACACTGATTCTGTCCTGTTTAATCCTGATACCCAAGAAGCACAGTGACACTGCTGCTCTCTACTGTCTTCCATGGTAGAGGGGCAAGAACAGTAAGTTTTATTTCCTTTACTCTGCATCATCCTGTGTCTCTGCTGTTTGGCAAGTTGCAGATGCCCAATACAATTTCAACCTATTATTCGCTCGGTACCTTTCGACTTACAAGAAATACACCATATCGTTTCTCTGTGGGAACGTTTTTGCCAAGAGAGAAAGTAAAAGGATTCCTTTTTAACAAGTATGTGGATGGCAATGGAAAGAAGGAAAATATCTTTTCATATCGGTGTTTTAAGTTCTGCGTAATGTCTATGTTGTGATATGCTGGTTACGTTGTTAGCCTACGTAGGTTTAGAGCCACTTACTGGTTAAGTTCATGTCCCTTCAAATGTCTTCCCTGTGAAGCATTGAGTCAACAGATGCCTCCATGAATCTTTGTCTGGACAGCTTTTTGGTTTGTTTAGAGCAATTGCTTTGTAGTCATGCTTACGACTTTTATAGCCTACAACACTCTTCTGTTTTATTTGCAGATTGTCATAAGCATAGGACTCATGTTTTATGTCGTTCACCGAGCTCAAGTGGAACTGAATGCGGCTATTGCAGCGTGTGAAATGGAAATGAAGACGTCGTTTGTTAAAGACAGTCAGCCAAGCATCAGTGGTTCAACCACATACTGCAACAAAAGGACAGTGGCATTCTCTGGAGGAGGTGTCAATATTGTGTGATTTCAAGTATTAATAACGCAAGGTTTTGTGAACCTAAGCTATTGCCTGGAAATATCTATGGACAATTCAACTAGTATTAAAAAAAATTACAAGTGGTTACAGGTTGTACTGTGGCACAAACCAACCGACCAGCTCTTCAATTGCACACGGGGTGACTTCTAGCAAGAAAAGAAAGATGGTGAAGTAACTTAAGATGTAAATGCAAATTTGGCTGCACCTTTGGTCGTTTATTATGCCTGTCATGGTCTGTAGTCTGCACTTTAGGTTTTTTTCCTTTGCTCCTATAAACTGAGAAATGCTTCTATAAACTGAGAAAAGTAGCACAGAGGTAAATATTTTTCTGCTTAGCATTATTTATAAGGCTGAATAATTATATGCAGTAGAATTTTATTACTGATAAAGATGAATGAGAAAGTATGCAATTCAACTATGTTATTCTTGAATGTGCTTTTGCTTTCGAATTGCTTCCAGAACTTGGAGTGTATTATTTAGCTAATCATGGGACCATTTGGCTTTTCCTTAATTTTTGATTTTTTTTTTTTTAAAAAAGAGAACCCTTTATAAAGTTTTGATTGAATGTATTTTTGTAAGTCATTAAAAAATGTTGCAGAGCCATGCATATGTATTCACACAAGCTTAAATCCTACATTGTGGGACTGAAGTGCTCTTAAATAACATTTTAAGTTACACTGTGTAATATGCAAAGTAAAAGGGATAATACAGAAGTTATAATAGATTGCAGTGACTATTTGAGGGAGACTTCATGACTTAACTGTTGCATTGGTTTTACCACCTGGTGATTGTAACAAAGGGCTGTTCCACATTAGTCCTATTTATAATATTTTTAATTGTTAAAAGGATGGATTTCTTCAACTCACATGACTGCATGTAATAAGGCTTCCAGAACAGGGAGCTAAATCTCTCCTTTAAACAAAATGATAGGATAACGGTAGTACTAATTTTATGTGAAGGTGGCCTTTATTTTGTAAGTGAATTCCCCCTCCCTTTAAAAAGCTTTAACAATTTGCTTTGGTTGGCATGTTTTTTTCTAAAAGTTTTACATTTTTTGAAGAGATGCAATCTATTATAAATTTCATCAGAGTGAAGAAATGAAAACTAGAGGTTCTCCTTGGAAAAATAAATAATCCAGTAATGGAGGAGGACAGTAATGTCTCTGAGACTCAGGAATTCTGACTCCATTTTTGCAAGAAAACACTGTATTGGATAACGTTCCTTTTACGTGTGCTGTGGACTGTTTTTCACTACGTTGGAATAGACAGGATAACCCGATAGTAATGCGTGTGTGTAAAAGGAAAACAACAATAATGCCTGAACACGATGTCTTGTATATGTGAGTTTCATGTAGATATACGTACCAATGATCAATTGCTCAAACACGTGCAAGTCATCTGATACAAAAATAATATAATGTAGTGCTTATTTTGTAGTTATTTTGTGTAAGTTTTTAAGGATGCTTTCAGTCTTCAAGATTTTGTGTTATTCTCGATCAGTGTGACTGTGCCTCCTTTTTGTAAGGCTGTTTGTCGGGTTCAAGCGTTTTTGTCTTGTTGAGAATAGCAGATCTTCAAGGTCGTTGGGAAGCAGAGATTTGATAGCCTCCAGCAGTCTTACTATGAGGATGTACGGTACGCGCATAACGTGACATCTACGCATTCCGTGGAAGTGGAAGTTCAATTTTGTTCTTTAAATATATATCCTTTGCAGACCGCTGTTCTTGGGTCCTGTGACCGAAGGAACTGAACGAGTTAAATAACAAAGTTCAGATTGCCTCCTTTTTGTTGTTTTGGGTTTTTTTTTGTTTATTTGGGTTTTTTTTGAAAGGCAATCTGTATATACCTGAAGTGTTCATTTACACGTCTCTGCCTCTGACAGCTCCTGTGTGAAAACAAGAGAGCCAGATAACTTTTTGATGGCGTTATTTGTCATCTTAGGATAATTGAGCCCTTTCTTAACTAAAGGTTGTTTATTGTTTTTTTTGTCTCTTGGAAAGAACTATCCTTCAATAAATGAACTGTTCTTAACTTTGCTCCATCTTGCCAAATCAACAATAGTGTTTGAAGAGGGTATCTCTTTTGTTGGCATTTTTTAACTAACTTAAGGTTGTGTTCGAGAGGATTATTCGAGGATTATTCGAGAACATTTCCCAAATATGTATTTTGAAGTGCTTTTATTTCCATGACATTTTGTAACCAGAGTAACTTCACTATGTGAACACTTTTGTAGTATGGAATTAGTTCTTAAGACTTTTGCATTTTGCTTGATACTTGTAATATTTGTGTACAAGTTAATGGGAAATGTGCATTAAAAGGAACTTTTCTGTACCATGCCAATCATAATTTTATACAATAAATTCACTCAGATTTCTTTAAAGGAATATGTATTGAATGTTTTGATTGCTATGAAGCGGTTGGAAAGAAGGTGCGGTGGAGTGTCATCTTTCCATATGCGTGCAAAGATAGTTGTACATTAAAGGAGTAACAAGTAAGGATTTAAGGATGAATTCCACAGGTGGGCAGTTACTGACAAGGGAAAGACACTTGATTTTTATTTTTTAAAAAATTAAAATTAAATGCATGTTTAATTCTGTTAAATATGTTGAAAGCTAGGTGTTTGTAGCTGCCTTTGGATAGAAGAATAAGCGTACGTGTGCTTATGAGAAATGTGCTCCTGATCCAAAAGAGGATTGATGTCTTTGAATGTAAAAGTAATGTGATAGTCTCCCTACCTAGTACAACTAAAAAATAAAAGGGTATAAATCCAGTTTAAATAATACGTGGCAAGTCACCTTCATGAATATTTTCTGAGTTGCCATGATGGTGAAATTTCTGCATTTTTTTTATATGAAACGTACCTGAATCGCAGGTCATATAGAAGAAGGAATCTCTTTCAGCCGTGTGGCACCAGTTTTCCTTCCTCCTCCTCCTTGTGGTAAGTACAACTGTGTAATAAATTTGACAAAATTTAACTTTATACTAAGCACCTGTGAGGAAACCCCTTTTTTTTGTCTAAGAACTTTATATACTATTTTTGTACTGATTTTTGCACAATAGCTTCAACAAGCGTTGTCGAGGTCAAGTTCAAAGGACGCGAAAACTGTTGTTGGTGCGTGGCTAGTGTTACGTATTGGATCTTTTGTGTTCATTTTCAGCTCTCTACCTGAGACTGGCAACGGTTTGGATTTTGACTGACCCAAGACTGCTGGAGTCATCAGTGGCCCTGCAAATATCTGGGATACGATGCTTAAGATGAAAGATCATATATGTGCTCCCATTCACTCTGTGGTCGTTCTTAATGAGAGAAGCAGATGGCTCGAGTAGCTCTGTGACAGGCTTCCTTACTATAATAAATTCAAAGTCAGTGCCAGTCCTGTCTACATAAGAAGATGATGGATTTGGGCATGAGGGAATAGAAAATGAAGTGCAGAGGGCAAGCTGATGCAAATTCTGCCTTTGCTGGGGAAAGCAGCTCGTCCCTGTCCTCTCCAGTTGTACAGAATTAGTGATGTGCCTGGCACCACAGGGGTAATGGGTCTAACATTTCCTTTCTTCATGGACATTAGCATTTGTCTCATGCTATCCTGCTGTATTGATTTTTTTTTTTAAAGTTTCTATAAATTTATTAGTGATAAGTAGCAAGAAATAACTGAGTGCAGTTTCAATCCTGTCCCTTTCCCCCTTCAATAGATTTTTCTGGTGTATTGCTAAACTTAAAACTACATTTTAATGAAGTCTTGTGTTCATTAATATAAGTTAAGTCCTCCTTGCTAGCCAAGTGACTAATATGTAGTTGGTGGCATCTGCATTCTCGATTTCGTCTGGAAAATTAGCTGGGCAAGATTGGCTGTCGTAAGCGTGCAAAGTCCTCTAACTTTCCTTCTAATTATTTAGGACTTCAGATACATTGTGAAAGAAATTAGCACAACAGGTTTATTGTACAGGGGATTTCGTTTCTTTTCTATTAGGAGAAAAAGGTTATTAGCAAGATAGCAGAAGAAGGGTTTGTTCTGCCTTGATCCTGAAACTTGAATGCTGGGTGTCATCCTTTTTGGAAGACGAGAAAGTTGGCAAGATGTAGCACACGTAAGCTAAGGTGAGTCAAGGTGATTAGATGCCCGCTTTGGTGAAGAGGATGCAAACCCTGTATCTTCAGGTCAGCATGGCAAATCTTTTTTTTATCATGCAGTCCACAGACCCGCACAGTTTAGCATTGGTGGCTGCAGTGCATTGCTTCCCATCCCTCCTCATCTGCAGGAGGAGGAATGTAGAGAGCTACAAGTCTTTCAAGCTGAAGGAGAGGAAACAATAGTCTGAGCACAGCGGACACAGTTTGAGAAGGTTAAATCAACCTTAATGTTCCCAGAACTGTGAATACATGTAAGTGCCTTGTTTTCTTAACTGCCAAATCCTTTGACAGCTTCTGCTTCTTTCTACAGGAAGGCAGCTGGGTCGCCTCTCCTAGAGGTAGGTCAGCATTTTCTCTTCTGGAGAACTTTAGAATGCTTTGACTTTTGGACCTCTTAACTTGTGAAATAGTCTTTTGAGAAATTTTGTTGACGTTTCTCTAATTAGAACAGTTTGGTTTGTCCCGGTAACAGGGCAAGATCATCTAGGGTGCAAACATGTATGTACCAAGTGGTGGTCATGCATGTGCACCTGGCCCAAGAAGGAGCTTCTGCAGGGCGATGTGCACAAGCTCAGTTTGCAGAACGTGAGGTGTTTCCCCCTGTTCCCAGCCAGCTATAACTGTTTCTCTTAAAGGTCGTGGGTGGGTGGAACGAAGGAAGGAAGGAAACGCCTGTGGTGATGGACTATTCTAACAGCAAATTTTCGCTCTCTGACTTAGAAACTTGATTGCTTAAGATCAAATATTCTCCATTTAATGTGAGAAATGGTAGGTGGTGAGGGAATAGACTAATGAATTCTCTGACTATGATTTTTGTGAGGGAGTAACAATTTGCTTCAGTACGCTATGAAGTGCCCAGATGGTGGAGGGGTGGGGACTTTTTTGTTGGATTTT